TGGCATTTCTCAGTCATTGTTGCGCAACTTTTAAAATCGCTAGGTAAGCATATCTTTTAATTTTGCTCAAAAAAATAATCTATCTTGAATTGTTTATATGCAAATTGCTTGCAGTAACATTATCGAAAATACAGTGACTAAACATACACTTCAAATTCCTGCTTATCGGAAAACACACGTGATGTATAAGAAAATTATTCGTGCTGTTCATATTCATAGAAAGTCTATTCAGTTAGTCTTTTTATTTAATTTCTCTTATCTACCATTTATTATTGTTAATGTCGCACATTAATTTGAGAAAAGCACATTTTTAATATCTTTATATTTGACTCAAAGGTATGAATTAGATTTTTCTTCGTTATTGAAGGTTTTCCACATTCTTTATAAATATTATGAGTAAATGGCATTTCGCTATAGTGATAATTAGTGTAATATCTTTAAGTTGCAATCTTTTTCGTGTAAGTACTTTACTTATGTACATGTAATACATTTTTTGCGTCTTACATTTAATTCAATTTTTATAGTTATATCCGTATCTTATATAAATTGAAATATATGAATGGTAATTTAATACATTATTACAGTTGGTTAATGCATTAACTGTGTCAATTGAGATTTCCGAAATAACAATATGCATCGGTATGGTAGTAGCCCATTTTCTATTTATATTTGCACCTAATTTTATTGGTCAATCAGTTATCGATCACGGTGCAGAAATATTTAATGCCGCGTAAGTATCGTATGAAGACTCAAATGATATATGAACGAAATAAATTAATTTCTTCGACCAATTCAATGTCCATATATTTTTCAAATTCTAAACTATTATGTCTTCGAAAAATAATTACAAATTTTAAAATTAAATTATAAGGGATGAATAAGTGTCTCTACTTAATAACAATTGTAATATTTCCATTATATAAAATCGGAAGGATATAGAAATCGGCCTATCTCCAGGAACTTACTTCATTGGATGTGTGGACATTGAATGTGTTAAATAATTATTTAGATTACAATAAATTATAATCTATTGCATATGAAATTGATAATGTTTAAAGGATCATTGTTATTCTGGAATAATGTTTACGTAAATATTTGATCACAAATTATGTCATATAATAAGAGAAAAAAATCTTATTTTTCGTGAAAGCAGGTCTTGATGCATGATATTTTCTCGTCTTATGCAAAGGATCGTCCCCGATTTATATAAAGAACATTAGTCAATTTGATTGAATTTGTGATTGTTGTGGTTTTTGTATTTTTGATAAAAAATCTCATTGAGCAAAACACTTTTGCTGGTTGCTGAGATAGAAGCATTTAAAAAGTCTTTTTTATGAGATCCGTTTGTACGTTTGCTGCAAGAGCACTTGTATGCTGTCGTATATAATGTCCTACTACGTACATATACAATATTTTTCGTAATAAATTTCTTACAATGCGTCAAAATATTTATTAGCATCATTATTAAAGTGATGATTAATGTAATTCGTAAAGTTAGTTTCTATTTCAGTTAATGATTGCTGGAGTCCGACCGAAATTTCGATTTTGGTATAAAATTAGGATTTCGGTTTGATTTCGGTTTCGACCAAAATTAAGAGAAAATTTCGGTGGATAAACCGAAACTGTACAAGTTGCAACGCGCCGGTGAGCGTTTAAAGAACAACTGTTTGATTTTAATTATCAACTCGTTGATTAAGCTTATGACAATTTGAATACAAACTTTGATGTGACCCTAATAATAATCCTCAACTTTTAAAGAAATCAAATCATAGTTATTACAACTGTGATTTGTATTAATCCAAAAATGTCGATATCTTCGGCCGAAAAAAATGTGACTCCGTTAGCTTCTCTCTCTCTTTTTTTTTAGTGAGACTTATCTAAGTTTCGGTTTCGGTTTCGTTTTCGATCGAAATTGGATGACAACCGAATATTCGTTTTCGGTTTCGATCGGAGGTCAAAATGTGGTTTCAGTCGGACTCTAATGATTGCCTTTCGATAAACCCGATTGGCACGTAATTTATAGAATCAAAAAATATATTTATAAAATTGCTTAGAATAGGTATTCATAGCATCTGCAAATAAATATTAATCACCATGTACACGCTTTGATCGAAAATAGAATTTCTTTCTTTTATTGAATTTATTCTTATCGGTCTGAATTTTATTTAAAATTATACTTATAAATTCACATTATACTTTTAAAATGAGTAAAAAGTTGAAGCTACGAACAATTTAAATTCGCAAACATAAACAAAAATAACTGTTATACGTAATGTTAAATCTTACATTTGTTTAGAAATTCGCCGGATATCTGAAAAATATCCGGTATCCGATATTATGTGATACTTTTTACTATCCAATTGAATAACTAGATATCATTAGTATCCAATAATACATATCCGGCTGAAATTTTACGTTGAAAGTTTGCGTCATTAATGCAGAACTTTATTTTTTCAGCTGAACTTCTCGTACAGTTCATCTTCGCTCTTTTTCTTTTCTTCATGTTAGGAAGATAATTATTATAATAATTACACGAAAAGAAAATTATTATCGTTATTTCTTCCTTGCTTTTTTTGAAATTCTTGTTTCAGATAGATATCCAATCGGATATCCTAGGAAATAGCCGGTATCCTGTCGGATAATTGCCCTACCGGATATCCGACCGGATATTGGATATCTGAAAAGAATGTAACACCAAAAATTCGATATCCGATAATTTTACGGTGCATCCTAAATTTTTTTACTTTTAGGTATAACACACTGTGGTATATGGCTCCATTATCAATACAAAGATTGCTTTTATTTGTGATGCAAAATTCTCTGAAATCTCACAATCTAACAGTTGGTCATGTTTATGTATCATCTTTACAAGGATTTAATACAGTAATAAATATCTTATAGTAAATAATTAATTATCTAGGAAGAAATTAGCTTATCTATTTTTATTGTATTTAATATCTATATTTAAAAAGACAAATATATATGATATATAACATTATTGGTAACAATCAGATCTCAATGATTGTGATATGAAGATTAAGAAATTAAAATACTTTTTTAGCTTATAACTACAGCAATATCATACTTTACTGTAATATATACCACAACGATGAAATAATACAAAATAAAGATTTTAAATGGTTACCTATAGAACTTTGCGCGTAGTGATACTTGCACGTACTAATGACAGAAGATTATGATGGATTCCTAGGTACGTAATTATTTATTCAAACAGAAACTTCATATTATATATACCACAACGATAAACTAATACACAAAACATTTTCATTGGTTACAGAAATTTTAATATAGTAATACTTGCACGTATTGATTACGTAAGATAATTAAAGATCTCTGAGTACGTAATTATTTACTTACAAGGGAAATTCACAACTGTCCGGAACCGATTTGATTATCCATGAAATATGTTGTTAAACACAAAAATCTAAGAGACACTATTTTTTTATACATGCCCTAACTCATGTTTAAGGAGTGAAACGCCCCTTTGAAAACAAACGATATTTTTCTTCGAGGCGAATATCGTCGGAAATATAAAAGATAGAAAAAAATTTTTTAAACAAAAGTTGTACGGTTTCAAGAGTATTTCAATGTGGTGAAGAATAAAATTTTTTGTTAACAATTGTTAAACAAAAAAATTAAAAAAAATTTTTCTTTACAACTTTTCGCTTAAAAAATTTTTACTATCTTTTATATTTCCGACGATATTCGCCTCGAAAAAAAAATACCGTTTTTTTTCAAAGGGATGTTTCACTCCTTAAACATGATTGTTAGGGCATGTATAAAAAAATACGTGTCTCTTAGATTTTTGTGTTTAACAACACATTTCATAGAGAATCAAATCGATTCCGGACAGTTGTGAAACTTTTCTTGTTAAACATATAATTATTATGTTAATTTATAAAATTATAAATAGGCTGTAACATATACTGATATTAACATTAACATGTCAAAAATAATTTTGATTTCTAGCACTGACATATAATACATACGAAATGGAAATCATATCAGTAATAAGCATTAATATAATTTATTTAAGAGATCACTGAATCAACAAATAAAATTTATTAAAATGTATCTCATTACATAAATGTTTTCACAAATGTTTTCAACATATACTAAATATACTTAACTAAAAATAATTAAATTTTTATATACCCTTTTTATATACAACAGATATGTACTTATATATATTTATAATTAAAATTTGGAGATGTAGTCATTGTCAGTATATTTTCAAATTTTAATTGCCACTTTTATTACATGCAAGTGATGTATGTATAAAATCGAAAGGATTCTGATATATGGATTGATGATAAAAAGGGGGGGAGGGGGCACGCGGAGAACCGTGCGTTTTATTTATGTTGAGTAGGCCGCACCCCTGCCGAAATGTTACTACTTCACTTTAACAAGCACTCGATGCGCGCAATGGTCCTCCCAAACGTGTCCCATGATCGTGGACGAATATTTAAACCTTAGTAAAACAATAACGGACTTTCGAAAAAATCATTAAAATATATGTGTATAATGCATATAATACATCATTCATAAGAGAAGATTGTTTTCGGATCTAATGTCTTGCACTGTGAGGTATTCAAGCGATTCAAGATAGTATTTGTTTATCAACTGTAGTCTGTTACACTGCGAACTACGCTCTCGCATCAACTTACAATGAATTGCGCCTGTCCAAACTATAAGAACTATAAGAACGAAATGATATTTTCTTATGGCATTGGTAATTGCCGCAAAATAGTTTTTAATGTAGCGTATGATTATTTCAAATAATGTTGACGGAACTATAGAATTTTCGTTCTTACTACGTAATTATAGAAAATTATTAAATTACATGGTCGTGCCATAACTTTTTTGCCTTTAGGAGATATTTTGCGAAAAATAAAAAAATATTCAGTATGCCTGATGGTACGACATTATTTATGATATTTCTTTTCGCAAACGTATTCAATCTACTGACAATGAGTAAAATGGTTTTTTCTGGCGAACGTTATTACAACATTTATCGGATAATGTTAACAGCGATTGGTTTGTGGCCTTATCAAACATCGATTGTTATGCAAGTGCAATCTGTGTTCTTCCTTGGCGTATATTGTTTCATTCTTTTATTCCAAGTATTTCTCAATCCTTTTCTTCTTACATATCTAACGACTTTTTTGTGATTTTTTATTACTTAAATACGGTATATTGTTATATGTATGTGTTGCAGTTCACAACTTTTTTAACAACGACGTGCAACTTGGAATTTATTTTCAAAGAATTTTCATATATTTTTATTACCGTGTTATATATTGTAAAGTATAACTCTTATTATTTTAATTCTAAAGAAGTAAGTATACTTCCAATTTTCTTTATGACGGAGTCTTTTTACACCCGAAAATTTTAATTCTTGAAAGTAAAAGGAACTTTGGAAACAATAATTGTTTTAATGATAGATTAAATATTTGTTAAAACAAATAAAAGTGGACTGGAATTCCATTAAAGACAACAATGAAATTAGAATATTGGAAAAGTATGCCATTGAAAATCGTCTTCTGTCATTAATTTTAGGTTGTAAGTAAATTATAATCTAAATTATACATATATATAACTTTTAATATATATTTCTCTAATTGAAATTATTTATTTATAATAACTAAATAAGGCTATATATTACCTTGTCATTTACGTTTCCAGTTTTCGTCGCATTTGGTGTATTTTTTATTATAATTGTCGAATTGATACCAGTTATTCTTGACGCTATCACACCGATGAATACATCTCGACCACGTAAAATAAAGATGGATTTCGAATTTTTTATTGACGAGGAGCAGTATTTTTATATTTATTTAATACATGAAATTATAATAATATTAATTGGAATGCTTACATTACTTGCAACAGGAACGTTATCATTAGCGTTTCTCAGGCATTGTTGCGCTACTTTTAAAATCGCTAGGTAAGTTTGTATCTTTTAATTTTGCCTGTACCTTTAAAAAGGATTTTTTGTAACTTTAAAAGGAAAATATCTATTTTCTTAAATTGTTGATTATATATAAATGTTTTGCAGTAACGTAATTGAAAGTACAGTGACTCAACATACGCTTCAAATTCCTGCTTATCAGAAAACACGAGTGATGTATCAGAGAATTAATCGTGCTGTTCATATTCATAGAAAATCTATTGAGTTAATCTTTATTTAATTTACTTTTTTAACAACTATCTATTATTCCATAATGCACATTAATCTTAATTTTAAAAGAACACATTTTTTATGCCCTTGTATTTGACTCACTCAAAGATATGAATTAGATTTTTCTTCGCTATTAAAGGTTTTCCACATTTTTTATGAATATTATGAACAAATGGTATTTTGGTGTACTAATAATCAGCGTAATATCTTTAAGTTGCAATCTTTTTCGAGTAAGTAACGTTTCGAATATGTAACGTATTTTTTGCGTTTTCATTGAGAATTAAATTTCAGTAATTATTAATTTGTACATTAAAAATTGAAATATATGAATAATAATATAATATATTTTTATAGCTACTTAATGCAGTAACAATATCAAATGACATTTCCGAAATAACAATGTGCATCGGTATAGTGCTAGCCCATTTTCTGTTCATTCTTGTACCTAATTTTATTGGACAATCTCTTACCGATCATAGCGCAGAAATATTTAATGCTGCGTAAGTATTATATAAAGATTCAAATCTTCATTGACCAGTGGCCAAAACAAGCTCATTTTATGGATAAATTCAATGTCCATGTATCATATGATATCTTTTAGCAATTCCTAAACTATTGATTTCTTAAAATAATTATAAAATTAAATATTAAATTATAAGAAAAGGACATTGTCTCTGCTTAATTATAATGGATCCATTATTTTATGTCAAAAGAATACAGAAATCGACCTAACCGCTAAGGATTCTCTTCAGTACGTGGTCATCGAATGTGTTATATAATCTATCAAAACGCATTTTACACACGATGATATTGCACCTAGCACGTTACACACATGACAATATTGCATATAGCGTTAAGCCCATAACATGCTAAAGATTGAGATTGAGATTGCATTGGAATTTGACCAATCAAAGCAAAGTTCACTAAAGTTGATATTGATTTACTTTTTTCTGCTTGGTTAAATTCTAATCCAATCTCAATCTCTATCTCTATCTCTAGTCTGATTCGGACTTTAGGCAAACAACAGCCTCCTCCGCGCTCGAGTGTATATATGTATATACCTATACAGGGTGTCTCAAAAAAACGGATCGAAACACAATGGGGACTGGGCCGCGAGGTGCGGGGATGGCCTGGCAAGCGAGCCACTCAGAACGGCGCGCATGGGGAGGAGAAGGATAGCGCTTGAGCAGTAGGCTGGTCGGACGCTTGTATTCGCCTATCTTTAAACGTTAATATCTCGTTAAATATTGCGTCAACTGCAAAATGGTACAAAACTGTTTTGTTCCCCTTGATTCAATCTACGTCCCTATTGTGTTTCGATCCGTTTTTTTGAGACACCCTGTATATATGAACATCCGTAGATGACTGTGTGCGTGTACGTGTGTTTGATCTTTGTAATTGATAATGTTTTAATATAAATTTGTATATATATATTTCAATTCTATAAATATTAAAATTCGCTTCGACCGAAAACAGGATTCTTTCTTTTATTTAAATTCTAAATTTGATTTATTCTCATCAGTCTAAAATTTCATTTATAATTGTTCATACATTTATTCTTGAAAAATGACTTTCTCTCATTAGTTACTAGTTATTGCGACAAATATCTCCACATGCCTCAATAATCGAATTAGTAAGACTCCGGTACTATATGAGAAGGATCCAGTTCCGAACCCCACTAAAGTGATATTTTTCATAATAAGTTCTATGTAGTGTTTTAATAAGATGTTTATTAGTGTCATCATTTAATTGACGATTAATGTAATTTGTTATTTTCAAATTTAGTTAATGTTTACTTTTTAAAAGTGACAAACTGAATTGACACGTAATTTATATAGAATTGAAAATTATAATTGTAATTGAATAGAATATTCATAGCGCATGTGCATACAAACATCAAGTATCACATCCATTTGGATAAAAACATAGGATGCTTTATTTCATTTAATTTATTTTTATCGATCTAAAATTCGTTACAAATTTTTTCTTATTTGAATATGTATACATTTATAAATTTGTTATACTTTTAAAAATGTGGAAAATAGAACGTTTGTTATTTAAATGTACAAATATATAAGTAAAAATAATTTTTATAAATAACGCTAAATGCAATATTTTTTTAATTTTTAGATATAATACAATGTGGTATTTAGCTCCATTATCGATACAAAAGTTGCTTCTATTTGTGATGCAAAATTCTCTGAAAACTCACATGCTAATAATTGGTCGTATTTATGTATCATCTCTAGAGGGATTTTCTACGGTAATAAATACTTTGTAATGAACTAGTTGTCTAGGAAAGAATTTATCTTATCTTTTTTTTCCTAGGGAATGGATATATTGTATTTAATATATATTTAAAAGACAACACAATAATGTCACATAACATTGTTTGTAACGATCAAAACTTTATGATTGCGATATGAAGATAAAATACTTTTTTAGCTTATAACTACGGCAATATCATACTTTACTGTAATATATACCACAACGATGAAGTAAAACACAAAAAATTGTAATTGGTTGCAGAAATTTTAATGTAGTAATATAATAAACTTGCACGTACTGATTGCAGAAGATAATTAAGGATTTCGTGGTACGTAATTATTTACTTAAACAAACATTATATTGTCTTGATCATTATATTATTATATAAAATTAAACATATGCTGTAATATACAGGGTGTCCCAGTAACTCTGTTACAAGGCTATATGTCCGTTAACGTTAATGATACGCGAAAATGCTTAAGGAAGAAATTGTTTGGTTCAAAGGGACACACATTACGGTGGAAATTTCTTTCTCAAGGTCATATTTTTAGAGCCTTCAAAGTCATCGATATTTTTTTAAATAGGACTACATATTTTTATCATTATAGCGTAATAGCTGAGATCAAGACGAATCCAATGGCCTGTAATACCATGACCTTCACGTGATCTTGAGTATGAAAAATTCAGAAATTTTGAGGAATGGGTGCGAATAATGAAATAAGTACAATAGAAAGTTTGGCATAGGAAAATTTATTGTAATAAGTATTCAAAATTGTTTCCATGGACTTCTAAACATTTGTTAATTCGAATATTAAACGAACGTCGCACATCTGCGAACATTTTGGGCCTAGATTTCTTTCTATGGGGCTTTGGAAATAATTTTGAACACTTATTACAATAAATTTTCCTATGCCAAACTTTCTATTGTACTTATTTCGTTATTCGCACCCATTCCTCAAAATTTCTGAATTTTTCATACTCAAGATCACGTGAAGGTCATGGTATTATAGGCCATTGGATTCGTCTTGACCTCAGCTATTACGCTATAATGATAAAAATATGTAGTCCTATTTAAAAAAATATCGATGACCTTGAAGGCTCTAAAAATATGACCTTGAGAAAGAAATAATTCCCACCATAATGTGTGTCTCTTCGAACCAAATAATTTCTTCCTTAAGCATTTTCGCGTATCATTAACGGTAACGGAGATATTGCCTTGTAACAGAGTTACTGGGACACCCTGTATATTGATATTAGCATGAACATATAAAAAATAATTTTGTTTTCTAGCACTGACACATATAAAATGGAAATTATATATCAGTAATAAGCATTGATATGATTTGTTTGAGAGAATCAACAAATAAAAAAGGTTTGTTAAAATGTATCTCATTATATATAAATATTTATTTTACAAGTATTTTTAATATGTAGTAAACTAAAAATGATTGAGCTCCTTTTTATAACAGATATATGATATTACACGTATATATCTATAATTAAAATTTAAAGATATACTCAATTATGAGCGTATTTAAAATTTTTTAATGTGACTTGTCTTTTTATTTTAACAAGTAGTAGAATTTAACTGGACTTAAAAGCACATAAAAATGAAAATATAAATCTTGAAATATATAAATAGAAATATTGAAATATATTATATAAATTAAAATGTTGTCGTTGTCGTTCTTGTATAACAATTCTTTCTCTTCCCTTCTATCTCTCTTTCATTCCTCTTTTGTTGAATTTTATATAAGAATATACAAAATTAATGATAAACGAATTTTATGTTTACGTAATTTGTTGTGGTACATTGCTCCATTACCATCGTAAAAAGTACTTTTATTTTTAATATATCATACAATAAAAAGTTTTATATTAGTTTTATATCAAGTTTTATATCATTTATAACTCTATAATATATTTATGGCAACGTGGAAAGTTAATTGCCACGGTAATATATGTATGTATAACAATGAAGAAGGTAAATTATTTAAAAACAAAGATTACGAAAAAATTTTAATAGAAACTTTAATTTTAGCATAATTTGCAAAATGTAAATCTACTTTAGTTCAATTACCTAATTATAATAACTATATAGAATTAATAAAACTATAGAATTAATTTTGTTTCTGATATTAAAAATAGAAAAAAATCTACGTTTTTATAGTTGTTCATCACGTCATTGTTTTACTTAACAATAGTTTTTATTTTATACAATAGCAGTATGTTGTCGCTGAGATACTTACCATGCTGCTAATGTAATATTACAATTCAGTAGCATATATTGAAAATGGTTAAATACTTAATTATAAAAAAATATTATAGCTTTTATATGTTCGTTCTTAATATCGTAATTGTTTACTGCACGTCAAGTATCATCTTGTTAAATCTTTTATTGGCGATTTCATAAAACCTCACAAATGGAATTCTTATAAAACCTACATTTTTTTTAAGTTAATACGCATTCTACTTGCATGTATGACTCCTTTCTGTAGAACTTTATTTTGTACCTATAAACTTTATTAAAAAATATCATTATTATAAAATAGAAATTATTAAAATTCATTTCTAAAATTGAATTAACAAACTTACAATGATTTCTCACATAATTTACGAGACAATGTTGAAATAAACACATACTTTTCTTATATTAAAACTGTATATTTACTGGAATTAATATTACCATACCAAATGAAAGTGATACGTTAAAATATCTACAGTATTTCTTTTTACATCAGAACGTTCTTTCATACCATATTAAGTAATGTAGTCGAAAGGATTCTGACGTTTGGACACGATAAAAAAGATCGCGCGTGGAGAACCGCCGCGCGCCTTATTTATGTTGAGCAGGCTGCACCCCAGCCGAAATGTTTCTACTTTACTTTAACAAGCATTCGATTAACTCACACGTTCTCTACACGTGCCCTGTAATTGTGCCTAGACGTCTGAACCTAATAATCAATATCAGCTCTTGCAAAAGACAAATAAAATATATACGTATAATACATTTAGTACGTCATTCATAAGAGAAGATTCCTTTCGTGAAGCTAGATATCTAAAGTCTTGTACTACATCCAAAAAAAATATTCTGCCTATAAGCGGGGAATTCCTCTAAGCAAAAAATCTTACATTAATCTTACATTAATCAGGTGCGTGTATTTATAATATGTATTCATCTATAAAAATGGATATATAAGCTATGATCAAAAATAAATTCTTCTATATAAAATTCTATTATAATAACTCGAATAGTCTTTTGAAATAAAAGGATACACAAAATACTAACGGCACGCTTACTTGTTAGAAGAGGGTTTATCATTTACGTGCTACAGTAGTACGCGTGCATGTCAGTACATGCAAGACATTCTTCTAGTATTGAGAGGATCGTAATCCTTAATCCAATCCCCTTTAGGCTTATACGAAATTCTTTATTTTGTAGAGTATCCTCTTGAGGTCATATATAAATGGAAAATCCTCTGACATTAACACGGAACCGCTAAATGACAGAATATTTTTTGTGTGTATAAAGTATATTCAATTGATTTGAGATATAGTTTGTTTGTTCACTGGAATCTGTCACACTGTGAATTAAACTACGCTCTCGCACAAAGTTACTCCGAACTCCGCCAATCCAAACTATAAGAACGTAATGAGAGATATATTTTCTTATAACACAATTGTCGCAAAATAGTTTTTAATGTAACATATGATTATTTCAAATAATGGAACTATAGAATTTTTATTCTCACTGCATAATTGTAGAAAATTATTAAATTACATGATCGTGCCATATATTTTTGTCTTCAAGAGATATTTTGTGGAAAAAAAAGTATTCAGTATACTTGATGATATTATCAACGATATTTCCATTCCCAAACATATTCCATCTACTGACAATGAGTAAAATAGTATTTTCTGGCGAACGTTATTACAACATTTATCGGATTATGCTAACAGCAATTGGTTTGTGGCCTTATGAAACGCCGATTGTTATGCAAGTGCAATCTGTGTTCTTCCTTGGCACATATTATTTCATTCTTTTGTTTCAGGTATTTCTTGATCGTTATCTTCTTACAAGTAACGATTTTTTGTAGAAATTTTTATTACATAAATTCAGTATATTGTTACCATATTTATGTATTGCAGTTTACAACTTTTTTAACAACAACGTGCAACTTGGAATTTATTTTTAAAGAACTTTCATATATTTTCATTACCATATTATATATTATAAATTACAACTCTTATTATTTTAATTCTAAAGAAGTAAGTATTACTTTCAATTTTTTTTATGGCAGAGTATTTTTACAACCAAGAACTATAATTCTCGTAAGTAAGAGAAATTTAGGAGGCAACAATTGTTTAATATTAATAATATTATAATTGTTTAAATGATAGGTTAAATATTTGTTGAAACAAGTAAAAGTGGACTGGAATTCCATCGAAGATAAAAACGAAGTTAGAATATTGGAGAAATATGCTATTGAAAATCGTCTTGTATCATTAATTTTCGCTTGTAAGTAAATTATAATTTTTAATATGTACCTCTCTGAAATTATTTATTTATGATAATGAAATAAGAGTATATATTATCTTGTTATTTTTTACGTTTTCAGTTGCCGCTGCATTTAGTCTTTTTTCTATTATAACTGTCGAATTGATACCGGTTATCCTTGACGCTGTCATACCGATGAATACATCTCGACTACGTAAAATAAAGATAAACTTTGAATTTTTTATTGATGAGGAACAGTATTTTTATATTTATTTTATATATGAAATTATAATAATGCTAATTGGAATGCTTACGGTGATTGCAACGGGATCATTATCATTAGCGTTTCTCAGACATTGTTGCGCAACTTTTAAAATCGCTAGGTAAGTGTGTATCTTTTAATTTTGCTAAAAAAAATTTATTATTAAATTATTAAATTGTTGATCACATATAAATTATTTGCAGTAACGTAATCGAAAGTACAGTAACTAAACATACACTTCAAATTCCTGCCTATCGAAAAACACGCATGATGTATCAGAAAATTAATCGTGCTGTTCATATTCATAGAAAATCTATTGAGTTAGTTTTTCTTATTTTACTCTTTTAACTACCATCTATTATACATGATGCACATTAATCTTAATTTAAAAAGAACATATTTTTTATGTGCCTTTATATTGTACTCAAAGGTATGAATTAAATTTTTCTTCACTATTAAAGGTTTTCCACATTTTTTATGAATATTATGAACAAATGGTATTCCGCTACAATGTTAATTAGCGTAATATCTTTAAGTTGCAGTCTTTTTCGAGTAAGTAATGTGTTTCGAAGCATGTAATGTTTTTGCGTTTTACATTGAATTTAATTTCTGTAGGTATTAATTTGCGCAATAAAAATTAAAATATGAATATATTTTTTTAGCTACTTAATGCATTAACAATTTCAAACGAAATTTCTGAAATAACAATATGCATCGGTATGGTAGCAGCTCATTTTATAGTCATGTTTGCCCCTAACTTCGTTGGTCAAACTCTTACCGATCATAGCGCAGAAATATTTAATGCTGCGTAAGTATTATATAGGAAAGATTCAATTTTTTAATGACCAATGGCCGATAACTTCTTCAAACATAAGTTCAATGTCCATGTATCGTATAACATTTTTTATCAGTTCCTCTCTCTAAATTATTATGTTTTCCAAAAAATAATCATGAAATTAAACATTAAATTATAAGAAAAGGACAATTGTCTCTATTTAAGTTTTAATGGATCTATCATGTTTAGTCGGATATGAAAATCGACTTAGCTTCTAAAGACTTTAATGCGTAGTCATTGAATACATTAAATAATTTATTTTTTAATATTAGATTAATGATATTTGAGGAGACATTATTTGTTATTCTAGAATAATATATTTACATAAATATTTAGCAGTAAATTATTTCATAAAATGAGATCCTGCTTTCGATAAAAACAGATCTTTATGCTTTATAATTTTTGCACGTAAAGGATCTCGCGATATTTATGTGAAAAGTATATTTTTAATCAACTTAATTGATTTAGGAGGGCTTCTTTTATCTACAAAATGATTGCCTACAGCTTAATTTGCGCACAATCATATTGCGTTGCACACATGACAATATTCCACACAGCGTTAAGCCCATATCAGACTACAAATTGATATTGAGATTGCATTAGAGAATTTAACCAATTAAAGTAAAGTTTACTAAAGTTTATAATAATGGTTTCCTTTCTTCTGATTGGTTAAATTCTAATCCAATCTCAGTCTCAATCTCTGATACTTTAGCCCCCCCCCCCACTTGTGTATATATGTAAGTGTACATCTATGTACAGGGTGTCCCACGGGAAGGTGTTGAAACTAATTGGCTGTTATTTTCGAAAGTAGGTATTCAGTTATTGAAAAAACAAAAATTGCGCTGAAAAGAGGAAAGTCTGCAATTTTTAATAAATATAAATAAAATTTAATAAAATGTTTGTGTATCAATTAATTTTATTGATGAAAAATATGCTCAACATCTTCCCGTGGGACAACCTGTATGAATATTCATAGTAACTATATGTGTGTATATGAGAGCCTACGTGCGTACGCGTATGTACGTGTGTATGCGCGTGTGCGTTTATGTGTTTAATCTTTGTATTATTTGATAATGTTTGTACACATTTATTAATATATGTATATTAACAATATTCAAAATAGAATTCTTTCTCTTATTTGATTCTTGATTTGACTTATTCTTATCGGTCTAAATTTCTTATAATTGTTTATACACGTTTTCTTAAAAATGACTTTTTCTTTCTAGTTACTATAGTTACTACAACAAATATCTCTACTAAATATTTATAAAATTGTATAGAACATTTATAATGCATCCGCATACGAACATCAAGCACCACATCCGCTTTGACCAGAAATAATATTTTTTTCTTTCATTTTATTTATTTTTATCGATTTAAAATTTATTTAAAATTATTTCTTATTTAAATCTTTTTATATCTATACTTATATCTACTAAATTCGTTATCTACTTTTAAAATGTGTAAAATAGAAGCTACGTTTATAATTTAAATGTAGAAGTATACACATAAGTAAAAATGGTATTCATAAACAACGTTAAATTAAATTTATTTAAAATTTTTTTTAATTTTTAGGTATAATACTTTATGGTATTTAGCTCCATTGTCAATACAAAAATTGCTTTTATTTCTGATGCAAAATTCTCTGAAAACTCACACCTTAATAATTGGTCATTTGTATGTAACATCTTTAGAAGGATTTTCTACGGTAATAAATACTTTATAGTGAACTAATTGTCTAAGAAAACATTTATCTTATCTTTTTTTCCTAGGGAATGGATTTATTGTATTTAATTATTAAAAAGAAAATTTATTAAAAAGACAATTATGTTACATAACATTGTTTGTAACAATCACAGCTTTATGTTTGCGATATGAAGATTAAAATATTTTTTTAGCTTATAACTACGGCAATATCATACTTTACTGTAATATATACCACGACAATGAAATAATACGAAAATATTTTAATTGGTTATAGAATTTTTAATGTAGTAACATTTGCACGTATTGATTATTGAAGATAATTAAGAATTTCTAGGTACGTAATTATTTGCTTAAATCAAATGTAAACATCTTATTATTATACAAAATTTAAACATAAGCTGTATTTTCAGCATTAATAATATATCAAAAGTAATTTTGATTTCTAGCACCTGACATATACTACAAACAGAAATTATATATTGCTACAAAGCAATGATGTAATTTATTTAGGGGATCACTGAATCAACAAATAAAATTTATTAAAACTTATTATACAAGTGTTTTCACGAGCATTTTCGATACAATTAACTTAAGATGATTAAACCTTTTCATATATATGTATGTATGAAAGATATGTATAATTATTTATGAAAAATAATTATATGTATTTACGTATTTAACAATTCAATAGCTTGTACCTCATTTCAATGATAGACATATATACGTCACACACAAACATTTATGCAGTATTTCGTATCGATAAGTATTCTTGATTGCATCAAAGTAAACTGATCTCTTGTATTGTTAATTAATGTTACTAAACAACGCTCTGTAGCTGTGCTTACTACCTATAACTATCTTAAAAAACCAAAGATAACAGATGTATTTTCTTTAAATATTCATCAATTTATCTATACTGCAAGTCAGATGTGTAAAAAATAGCTTCGATATATGTCTTAGCTTTCCATGTAAAATAACATATTATAGGTACTGCTTACAAATGGATTTATACATTTAACTGTCAGTATAATGTCATTTTTATACAAAAAACTAAATAACACATATATGGGAGTCAATTTTACACTGCACTTGGAGATTTGCAGCGTATTCGATGAAATGTTTTGGATATAATATATATTGTTTAATGGAAGTAAAGCACTTTATACATATGATTCATCGAGTCATTATAATAAATTACTAAATTATATGTAATATCGCCATAACTTTTCCGTACAAAACAGAATTTTACAGAAAATGAAGCCTTCCCTACGTTTGATGTAAAGACTATTATTACTTTTAATTTTCGTTCCTCGAACGCTCCAAACTTCAACCATATTATTATTGTGTTGATATTCGACTTTTATTGACAAAACTATTTCATTCGTTAAACAAAATGGTTTTTATCAATGAACGCTATAACTTGCATCAGATTATGTTAATAATTTTTAGTTTAAGGCCTTATTAAAAACCAAGTTCAAATTTATTAATTCAAACAGTTTTCAGTACTTTCAGTTAATTCAAAGAAATTCATGTATTTTCGTTTTAATTTGTTTATAACTAAAAACATGATTAAAGTAGCACTAGAAAGTGATAGTTTGCATTTTCAGAAATTTAAATTATATCAATATGTACATATTAACAATTAAATATCAAAGAAACATTAAAAGGGTAGAGGAGAAAAAGGTGAGTTAAATACGTTCCACTATCCCTGTAAGAATTAATCTGATAAAAATGTAAAAGTATTTATTTTTTATCTTTTATTTTAATTTAAAATAAATTAAATTTATTTTTTATCAATGATTAGTCATTAAACTGATGATTACGTAGCGATAACTTTAAAAGTTACTCACATACATATGCACACTACAAAACCATCAGTTCAGTGATTAATCACAGTTAGAAAAATACTATTACTACGTTATCAAGTTAAATTGAATCACAAGTTAACTAGAAAAGAAAAACCGAACATGTGACTATTGAGTGTTTCTCCAGTTGTGAGTAAAGCAACATGAAATGAATTTAAACCCATTGTAGGAAATATAAATCAGGATTGGTAAAAGAATGTTTTTTTTTTTTTTTTTAAGAATAAAACATACTCTGTTACTTCTTAAATACGTTTTTAATGCTTCAAATATGTTTTAAACAGTACTATAAAAAAACATTTAAAATATAATAAGAAATTAAACAAGATCTGTAATCGGACTGAAGTTAGATGACAAATTTAAATAATTATTCAATCAACATACAATTAAAAATTAAAATGTAATACGTTTCGGGACCACCGGTCTTTCTTCAGGTACAAATAGTGAAAGTCACATACGGTGAAACATTTCCAGATGTATTGTTAAATTCGCAATGGTGTAGCCTTACTTATTAATCGAACGTTGTCATTTCATGATATTGTTAACTCGCAGTGGAGTGATCTTACTTATTAATCGCTGATGTCATCAAGAATTTTTTTTATAATTGCAACGATTGTCAAAAACATCCCATTATCACGCTATGTCAAGGCAGACAAATCATCAATTATATTTAAAATATATTAAAAACATCAATTTATCATGTTTTAAACTATTTAAAACATGTTTAAAACATGTTTTTTAGCCTGACATGTTTTTAAACCTGACATAAATTGATGTACATATTATAAAGAACATTATGACGCATTATACAGAAAGAAATCCTTTTTTATAGACGAAGTAATTGTAAATCATCAAATATTATATACAATCGGACTCTTTTTTGTATTATGAATCAAGCAATTTATATGATATGCATTTTTATATATAGTTTGCCTGTAAAATATAGAACAATATTAGTTTGTGTGTAAAATGGAAAGGCAAAAAAATATTCATTAATGTTGTACTATCGTTCTTTTTCTTTTATATAATCATTATATAATTTATTTTTCATGTAATTATTAGTTATGTTTCGGATAGAACAAATAAGCTTAGAAATAAAGGCTTTATCCTTTTTGCTGCTTAATAATATTTTTGCATAAATTTTACAACTTCTAATTCATGCCAATTGCGCGTCGATTATTTGTTGATTTCGAAATACAATCCTAAACTGAAACCAGAGTAAAAAATGTAACAAATTAACATTTACATACAGTTTAATAATATTGATACTGATGAACATCTTGAATCATTGTAATTAAAGAATTTATTGAGAAAAAAATATCACTCCTCTCAGAGATAAATTTGAACCTCTCTACATTCGTAATGGGCATTTTTTATCAATTTGATACCGAAGACATGTGGTGGTTTCGGACAAAATAACTCAACATGGAGAACTTTCAAATTTCTAATTTAATTAAAAAGAAAGTTATTAAAAATTTTATATATATATATATATACTTCACGTGTAAAATTTAAAAAATTATAAAATATTTATTTTATTATATACTTTTTTATATATAATAATATGTTCACGTTTCGTAATATTATTATTGATAGTTTTATAAATAAGACTATAGTTATTAATTATTAAGCTTTAGTATTAATAATATATTGTTTCTTTATTTTCAGGTAAGTACACAAAGAGTTTATTGTGGGCTGAATGGTGTGTGTATTTTTGCGGTGAGTAAAACATGAATGTATATAAAATTGCGTTAAAAAAAGTAATTTTTTCTTAAAAAGTATATGTATGTATGTGTGTGTATATATATACGTATATATATAATTATATTATATGTATTGTATATATAACGTATATGTGATCATATTGATATATACATATAATTATTATTTTATATTTATATTGACAAACGATATACCTATTTTAAAAATAATTTGTAAAGAAATTAAAATGCATTTTCTATGAATATATGTATAATATACATAATATATTGCATTAAAATTTTCAATTATTTTTTAATCAAATACTGAAAGGTTACATACTTTTCTACATAGATAAAATCTTGAATAAATAATCGTTTTAATATACATATTAAATAAACTATTATAAATAAACTTTCATATTATTGTAAAAATTTCTATATATTAGCATTTCATTTACAAATCTGCAACTATATAATAATAATATAAGTAGTGATTATATTAATATATTATCTATATTATCTATACGTATAGTAATGAATACCTATTTCTCTCCATATTTGATATATGATTGCACTATACTGTAGATGCAAATTAAGAAACACGTCCTACAGATCATCGAAAGAAACTGAAACTTTTTCTCTTGTCAAGAAAAAAAGTCGTGACTGCGTTTGCGCAAGAATATTCTTTACCTTACATGTTAAGGAAATATTACTTTTGATTACAAATTAGGATCATTTAGACCAATTCGCTAATTTTGTCTATAACATGAAATATGAATTCATATTTTGCGATTGCTCACAACGCGCGAGGATATCGATCGTTTAAAATTCGTAGAAGCTTTCGTGAGAAATAGTTCGACATTTTAAAGTCCGTATCATAGTTGTGTCACAGTTCTCGTATGAAATGCACGCAATAGAACGCTATTACAAAATTAATCAAATAATTCTTAAGACAGTTGGATTATGGCCCTATCAGCAGTCATGTCTCTCACAAGTTCAAAAAATTTTGTTTATCAGTATTCTTGTGACATTTATTCTTGTTCAGGTATAATATCGAACACTTACATGATTTATATACAGATTAATTACCAACATTTCTTGAATACATAAATTACTAATAATTTTTATTGCTTTTTATTATCAGTGTCTCTTCGTTTATTTTTATATTTTATGTAAAGCATTCATTTATTAATAATGTAAAAGTCATTTAACTTGTTTATTTTAAATAAACTTATATCAACCTTTAGCAAAAAATAAAACGCATTTTGTGTGTAAAACATATTTTTAAAGTACGTAAAAATGATTTATAGTAATGTGTATATTTCAAATGTTGTTTTTAGTTACTGGTATTCTTTACAAAGCAATACAATACGAATCTTCTCCTTCAGATTCTCTCATTCGTCTTTCCTATTCTTATCGACACGACAAAGTATTGCCTTTTTATCATTCAGGTTGACAATGTAAGTCTAACAGGACAAATTTATTGGAATGTTTTGCTGTAATATTTGTAGTATAGATTGCATTTAACCACCGTTAAGAAAAAATATGGAATGAACAGTTGAAGCAATTATTGGAGCAAATCCAAGATGACTGGAATTCATTGAAGGATAAATTGGAAATTAATATTATGGAAAAATATGCTTGCAACGCGAGGCTATTCACAATAATTCTAATGGGTAATAATATACATTACTATTTGTAGTAGTACACTTAATGTTATTTTTTTTATGGATGAAATAAAGAACATTTTTAATGAACTTTTGACTGTTTTTCGAAATAATTCGGAATTTGAATTGAATTAAATTTAACGTCTCTCTCTCTCTCTCTCTCTCTCTCTCTCTCTCTCTCTCTCTCTCTCTCTCTCTTTCACTCTCTCAGTGTATTGCTATTTCGGGTTAATATTTTGCGGAATATTTCAATATCTGCCCATGATTCTTGATGTTATTTTACCGTTAAATGATTCACGGCCATGTCAGCTTTTCGTGGTCACGGAATACTTTATTAATCAGGAAAAATATTTTTACGTTATATTAATACATGAGACATTAGCGTACAGTGTAGGAACAGCAATATTGTGTAGTACCAGTGCGACAATTATGGCATGTATCCTACACACGTGCGCACTATTTAAAATTGCAAGGTAATATGAAACGCATTTGCTTGAATATTTGTTTCATTTAAAATATACTTAGATCAATTTATGTAGTTGTCGAATAGAAAATGCGATCAAGAAGAGTACATTAATAATCCCTAGTCCTAGAAAAGAATATTTACTTTATCGGAGGATTGTACATGCGGTTGTTATGCATCAAAGGGCCACCAAGTTAGTATTTTTATATTTTTGCTATAACACTTTCAATAGAGTATTCTGCCTTGTAAGTCATCTCTCATTTATTAAAAGTAGTTGATCGATTGTGAGGTTATTCTTTTGAAATGACACGTATAATTCTAAGCATATATTATCGATGTATCTTTGCATTATAAATGTAATCCAAAACACAAATCATCTGAAATGTAAAATCAAACGTATTGAAGAATTCTGAATGTATGAAATAAATCTGAAATATTTGTTATTTATTTTAATAACACATTTAAATTTAACAATATATTTCTGTGAAACGTAAAATCAGATGACGTTAACATTAAATATGCAATTAAAGTTTATATACAATAAGAATTATATTTAGATTGTATATGTGAGAACACAATCGATAAACTAGAAGCCTATACCGGTCGAAGCTGGATCTTTAATAATTTAATGTGTGAATTATATATGTATTAAAATTTATATGTTATGAATGTAATATCGTGCACTGAAAAAAATTTTGTTCATTCTTGGTCCAATGATCGTTAATCAATGTCCGACTTAATGTCCGACTTAATGTAATTAATTCATTAATACAATAACTGGGATTTATTTATACAACTATATATTCATTCTTGCAATAAATTCTAGGAATAGTTTTATAATCTAAATCATTATGAAAATTCATTGGACTAATTTTCATTATTTTTTCATAATTCAATGAATATTTTATTGTATTTACGTACAGTTTTGGTTCAGTATGGTTACCTTTCTATATTCACAGCCAGTACTAAAAATCTATAGTAAGCGGAACTAACGTGTATATATATATATATATATAGATTATTTTATTAGATTATAATTATATATGCTATAGATTTTCAGTTCTGGCAGTGAATATTGGAACGCAGCCTATATTTTGATCGAACGAGACCAATTATTATAAATGAATTTTGAAGCTTACTTTATATTTATAATGTAAGTTCCACTATACATAGTTCCCATATATAAATCTTGTTAAAGGTTTGCTGAACTTTTGACGTCCAGTTTTGCGGTATTATTCTTTATTATAATCGTAATTGGCGTCAGTTCATTAAGTTTCAATCTCTTTCAAGTAAGTAATACGTACATCATTTCGTATTTTGGTTAATTCAGGATTGCTTTTTTACGTAGTTCTACATTGTAGTTCCTTCAATTAATAACATTCACAAAAAATATCAGCCAGGCCTTTATAGTTGCTACATTGATATTCCTACATTTGAATTATATGTTTGTTGCTAATTACGGTGGACAAGAATTATTAAATCATGGTCTAAAGTTGTTCAAAGCAACGTGAGTATTGTGTCTTGCAGTACTTTTAAATCTATATTTATACAAATTATATTCATTATACGAGGTCTGTCCCAAAAGTATCCGATATCTTTATCCTTGGGCATCCTATTATGAAAAATAGGCATTCAGTATTTAGACGAGACCTTGAGGAATATAACCCCTATCAAGTATCACGACTCAACACCTGTTCGGCAACAATGCGCAGTTGTGTGAACGAAAATCTGAGCGTCGCATTTCACATAATGCATTTGCTCATTCATTTCACCTAATTCAGGATTTTTAGAACTTAGGAAATAACCAGGAATCACACGGAGTTATAATATATGAACTGTACAGAGGTTGGCGAAATTGGGTAAGTGTTTAGTTAAAAAATCCTGAATCATTGTGAAATGCGGTCATTTTGAGCAATGCTCAGAGTTTTCAACGCTTACATAACTGCGTACCGTTGCTTACTGAACTGTTTGGGTGCCGCTTGGTAGGTGTACTCCTCAAGGTTCCCTTATAGACATATAAGATAGACCCAGCATTAGCTATATATACCTGGGTTTGGCAGAATGGTGCCAATATCGGGGCAACCTATTTCTCTGCGCGCGCATCTTTACAGTAAACTTACTTTGGTAATACTCAGTAATTTTACCTTCCTCACTGATTTTGACGAAATTAGGCTCATTCGATACGTTTTTGCATGAAATGAACGAATGTGGCAAAAAAAGTGACGCTCTGCCTCGCGTAGACCGAGATATTAATCGTTGAAGTTAACGATTATTCAGGTTAGGAAATCTGTCACATCGATGGCATAGACATGAGAATATATAAGTGTGAGGCTAGAATAAATATTTTCTGCTTTAATTTCATCAAAATCGGTGAGAAAAGTGGAATTCTTGAATATTAAGGGCCTCTTTCATCAACTCCGATTAACGCCAATCGATAGTTAACTCGATCACCACGATTGCCAACGTGAGAACTAAACACAGAAGAGGAAGAGAGAGGAGACGTTCTGATATGTTAAACTGCTGTTGGCATTGTTGTGAATTGATCGTCGATTAATTTAACCAGAAGTTGATGAAAGAGGCCCTTACTTTATATATTATTTTATTTTTTTCAGTAATATAAGTGTCAAAATGCGCGCGCAGAGAAAGATAGGTTGCCCCGATATTTTGCCTCTCGCACCGTTCTGCCAAATCCAGCATATATTATACTATAGAAAAGTATATGGATGCTGGGTCTATTTTATATATCTATGGGTTCCCCGTAAATACTGAATGCCTATTTTCTACAATAGAGAGGGGGGGGAGGGAGAGAGGAGAAGGAAAGAGGGGGAGGGGAGGGGGAGAGAGGGAGAGAGAGAGAGAGAGGATACCCAAGGATATACGTAGAGGTCGGATACTTTTGGGAAAAATATTGGGAGAAATCGTGTATGTTATATCTATATATGTGCCTTTAGAGTTATTTTAAATTGATTATTATTATCATCAGGGTCGGATTAAATATTTTGAGACCCCTAGCCATTGCGTTAATGAGGTCCATGTAAGGACACCGATTTTAGGACTTGCGATCCCCCACGTATGGGGGGATTTTTTAAGAGCTTGGATTCATAGAAAGAGACTCGCAAGCCCGCCTGTCTGCGGTTTTGGACGTGTGGATCTAGCTGTGAAGCTGTCCCCCGGCCCCGGGTATGTGGTTTTGGGGGCTTGAATTTATAGAAATAACTAAATTAACTATGAGGCCCCCTGAGAAGAGATGAGGCCCTGGGCCGGTACTCAGTCTGGCCCATGTCTAGATCCGACCCTGATTATTATACATACACAAATTCTATTATTAGCGATATTTTCAAGCACAGATAATTTAGTGTAATTATATTACAAAAATGTTGTTATCTTTTTACTACTTTACAATCAATTTTATTTTTAATGTTTAAAAAAATTACAGCTATAATGGACTATGGTATGCAGCACCATTGCGTACGCAAAAACTATTATTATTTATAATGCAAAAGGGAACAATAAACGTCAATTTAACATGTGGCGGCATATTTGTTGCATCTTTAGAAGGTTTTGCTACGGTAAGACTTCTTTAACAAAAAATTTAAATTTTAATATAAATATGGTAGAGAGCGCCAAGGATCGGTCAAAGTTGGATGTTTCAAATAATAAAATAATCTTAAATTCATGAATTTAATTTATCTCAGATGTGACTATGCGTCGAAACATTCGGACATTTAAACACAATCAATCTGAGATGCTAATAATTGCAGGTAAGACACTCGCCCCGAAAATTCGAGAGGTTCCAGGTTCGAATCCTGGGTGAGGTAATATTTTTCGCAATAAAAGTTTCTTATTTGAAATAGGGGAGGATCATATACGCGAATGACCGAATATTTCGGCTCGCGATTATTAGCATCTCAGATTGATTGTGTTTAAATGTCCGAACGTTTCGGCGCATAGTCACATCTGAGATAAATTAAATTCATAAATTTAAGAATATTATATTATTTGAAACATCCAACTTTGACCGATCCTTAGCGTTCTCTATCATATTTATGTCGTACATTAACTCGGTCGGACTTTATTTTTAAATTTTAATGTTTATTTAATTTCAGCTTGCAAATGCGACAGTATCCTACTTTACATTGATTTATTCTACACGATAGAAGCAAGACATAAAATTAATTTTATTAATTGGACAGATTTTTATTAAAGTGATAAATAAATACAACATAAATATAATGTAAATTTATGTTAAGCAGATATTTAGGTAATTAAAAATTGCTCGTATTAAATATATGTTTTTTTATACTACTATTTTTTACTCATGAAATCCAAATCAATCGATAATTTTAAAGAGTAAAAAATTTATATTTAAATTATAATACAAATATTTAATGCGCATAGATCTAAAAAACATAAATATGTAGTAAAATGTTGAAACTTACAATTGACGTAGTGGATTTATCGTTTTATGATCAGATTTATTTAACATAGCAGGTAATGGTATATAACATGTATGTAGTGGTAAAAGCTGATGATGTACTGTTCGATGCACCACGTACAAGGTATATTTGTCACTATGCATATATGAAAAGTAAGGGATATGGAATACTAGTATTTTATAATAAGTTTGGCAGTTCTTAAATATTTCAAATAATCATTATTAGAACATGATGCTCTGCATATTTCGTATGTATAATATATACTACGTGGAACAAAAAATGAAATAAATCAAATAAACGGTAGCGTACGAAAAAGAAACGCATCTATGAAATGTAATATTAAATTATTTTAATATAGTCGATGATAAATTTATTAAGAAGAAATTTATTAAGAAGATTAATTTTTCAACAAAAAGAATTTATAAATATATTTATATTTTTTGTCATATTCTATTACTTTTTTTAATCAAATATGCACACTAAATATGTTTCATACTTTGCTATCTGTAGTCTATCATAGTTATAGTTACCTATATGTATATAAGCATTTATTTTGTTATGTTATAGCAGAATAGAATGAGTTCTTTTATCATAATTTGAAAATTTTAAGCTTAGCATTGTATCTATAATTTCTTAAAAAAATTGTAATAAAGAAAATATAACGGTTGTAGACTGAATATAGTGAACGAATGTACTATACATTTGATATACGTTTTTGCATTCTATAATTTGATGCAAGATGAGAAAGACATGCTATAACATCGAAAGAAACTGAAGCTCTTTGCATTACTAAGAAGAAAAAAATATTACTGCATTTGCGCAGTCATATTATTCAGCTTACACATTAAATAAACATCACTCTCAATTACAAATTGAGATAATTTAGTCCAATTTGCGTTTACCTATATCATGAATATCTCGCTATTGAAAAAATAATAGACTTCTTTACGCGATACTTAAAATACGTCATTTAAAATTCATAGAATTTTGAACAGAGTAAACTAACAATTAGAAGAGAGACACTTTTCATAACGTCGCAATTTTCGTACAAGATGTGTGCGCTCCAAGAACGCTATTATAAGATCTATCGAATTATACTTAAAACACTTGGCTTGTGGCCATATGAACAAACATACCTTACATGGCTACACAAAGTGTTATTTGCTGGTATTCTTTTGACATTTCTTCTTGCTCAGGTGTGTTGAGTTACATTTATAAAATTTTAATGATAATTAATCAGTGACATTTATTACGTACATTAATAACAATTTTTATATTTCCCTTTTTTATTAAGAGTTCCTCATCTTTTCTTGTGCATATAACGCACGATAATATAAAGTATTGTCGTACGTTATATTTATATTCTATTAATAATATTATAGTGTCTTTTGTATAATCTATTAAATATCTAAACTTTGTAGTTTCTCTTATATAATAAAATAAATCCTATGTCATCATGTGAGGGACACATTTTGACATAGAAACGACATGGTACGTAAAAATTATAATCAATACATATTTTAAATGTTATTTCTAGTTGCTGACATTCATTACGAACCAATACAATTTGAATCTTCTGCTCAAGGTTCTCTCATTTTTTATTCCTAATATTTTCATCGTAATAAAATATATCGTTTTCATCATGCAGGCAAACGATGTAAGTTAAATAAGATAAATTTTTCATTCAAATGCTTTATAGCAACATTTATAAAGTATATTGTATTTTAAATATGAGCAAGTAAAAGTAGCTATTTACTAAATAGTTGAAAATACTATTGGAGCAAATCCAAAATGATTGGAATTTGTTGAAAGATAAATTGGAAATTGATATTATAGAAAAATATGCTTATAACACAAAATTATTTACAATAGCTATATTCGGTAAGAATATGAGTTTTCATAATATATTTATATGATAGACGCAATATTATTTATTCACTTTTATTAATGAAATTAATAATATTTTTAATACATCTTGAACAATTTTTTTTTTAATTATTTGCCTACTTTAATTCAAATTAAATTTAATATTTCTCAGCGTATTGTTATTTATCTCTGTTCCTTTCTGCATTATTTGAGTTGTTACCGTTAATCTGTAATGTTGCACTACCATTAAATGAATCACGGCCGTTTCATCTCACGGTCCTTACGGAGTACTTTGTCAATCAGGAGAGATATATTCATTATCTATTATTACACGAGATGTTAACCGTTTGCATAGCAACAAATGTATTTTGGGGCATTTGTGTGATAATGATAATGTATAGTATGCACGCATGTGCATTGTTCAAAATCGCAAGGTAATGTGAAGCGTATTTTTGTTTTTTCTTAAACACTTATTTTAATTAAAATATACTTAAATAAATTTATACAGTTTTCGAATAGAGAATGCGGTCGAGAGAAACATATTAATGGTTCCTAGTCCTAAAAAAGAATATCTCCTTTCTCGAAAAATAATACATGCGGTTGTCATACATCGAAGAGCCATTGAGTCAGTATCTTTATATTTTTATTATAATTTTCTGTAAATTTGTTTTTATCGAGTCAGTATTTAGGGGAGAGTTGCCGAATGCGTACTGGTCGCCTAAATCGTACCTCATCAATATTTTATATTATTAGTTAATATAGGCAATATTTAGTAACAATAATATAAAATATATGAGAAATGAGTAATATAGACAAAAATATAATAGCCTACATTTTGTTTTATGGATGTTAGCGGCGTTTTAAAAAATCAGGTACATGAATATATTAATTTTTAACCAACTTATGTAGCTGATAACAACGCGATCATCCAATTTTATTATAAATTTTTGTATTTTTATAAAAGAAGATTTATTGTAGAGTATTTTACATTTACTTTTATTTATAATAATTATAAAATTTTTTATTTTCTTCAATAAATTATTAAAATTAGATATTAATTAATTATTAGGTATTAGTTAATGATTTCTTTTATGAATCTTATATTTTTAATTATTGTTATTCATAAATTCAATACTTTCAAAGGAAATACGATAAAAAATATCATCTATAGATATACGATTTAGGCGACCGATTGCCTAAATCGTACCTTTTGCAGCATGTTATAAAAAGATTTATAACAAATTAATTTGTTATTGGTGGAAAGTTAAACATGTAATAATAAGCGTCCAAAACCTCAAGCTACAATTTCTAATATTCATTTGCATATAAAACAGTGCCAAATGGAAAATATTATAAAAAATAGGTTAAGTGGTACGCATTCGGCAACTTTCCCCTGTAAAGATATAAACTTTTATTATATAACTTTCTGCAATTTATTTCCAAAAGTATTCTACTTTTCGAAAGTTTTTATACATTAAAAATAACTGATTAATTCTGAAATTATCTTCACAGCACATGTAATATTAAATTTTATTAGTATATTGAATTTTATTAGTATATTTTGCCTCATTGATATATCGCATCATAGCACAATTTAAATATTGAATTGATTAAACATATTTAAGCATATTCAAGAATCAGAAAAATATATACAGTATAATGACCATTTTTAATAGTAATGACGTCATGTATGGAATAAATGCGATCGACACAAAAAGAAAAAACTAACCATGTCTTTTTCTTCCGTATCTCGAGTAACTTTCAATTTCGCACAGAATCTGTAATATCTGATAACGATGTCGGCAAATTGTCGTCAGAAATATGACAAAATCTGTTGACGTGCTATTGCCAGCTGATTGGTGGCAGAAACTAAGCAGAATTTGCAGTTCCAGCTTGATTTTTGTTGCCATTCTGCCGTCAAATTGTTCTCGCGCGCAAATGTTACTTGGATTCTGCCACCAATCTACTGACATTACATATCAACAGACTTTGTTGACAGATCCTGAGTCTAATGTGTACATACGTGGCTATGGATTTATAATAGAATCTGATTGAATTTGCTGCCAATCTGCTTACAAACTGCTAACATTTTGCTATCTGGGATATCACAGACATAACGTTTTTATAATACTGTCATAGAGTCAGGCGGTTTCCGCCAGTATTAAATATGTAAATAAAATATATTTATATGATAATATCTTTTATAAATAGGTGTGTTATTTCGCGTTAATTATAACGATAATATATATGTATCTTGTTCCAATATTGAGCTCCTCCTTAAAGGTATACTGACTTTGTGATTTCCACTTATACGACATTATTTACTATTCTGATTTTAATTGGTGTCAGCTCCTTAAGTATCAATCTTTTTCAAGTAAATAACTTTTTTCTTTTTCGAGTTAATTGTTAATCGCTTAATAATTGATGTTTTATCGTAGTTTTTTCAACTTGTAAAATTCACAAGCGATATTCGTGTAATAAGTGTTGTTACTATAATTATAATTTACCATTTAATTTATATGTTTGTTCTTAATTATGTTGGACAAGAATTAATGAATCATGGATTACACTTCTTTAAAGTAAGGTGGGTATCATATTTTTATAGCATTTTGAAATTATAATATATTTAAATAGAAATTATGATATAGATTTATTAGATTGGTTGTTTAAAAATACTTACACTCTATTTCAATATTAACATTAATTAACAAAAATACTTTTATCTTTTCATTATTTTCTTATTTTAAATTGGTTTTATTTAAATTAATTTATAGCTATAATGGATTGTGGTATGCAGCACCTTTGCATACCCAAAAATTATTATTATTTATAATGCAAAGGGGAACAATAAATATTGTTTTCGTATGTGGTAGAATATATGTTGCATCTTTGGAAGGATTTGCTACGGTAAAATTAAAAAACTTTTTTAACAATAGAAATAAAATGTAATATTTATGTAAAGTACAATATTTATTTTCTAGCTTATAAGTACGGCAGTATCTTATTTTACAGTGATTTATTCTACACGATAGCGAATTTTAAAAGAAAAATTTGTTATTAATTTTAGTCAAATCTTTATCAAATTAATAAAATTAAATAAGTTAGTTAAAATATTTAAAATATATTGATTAAACATTTTATTAAAAATATTACATGCCAAGAGTTCGTTTATAATTCTTTTCTAATCATTAACAAATAATACTCTCGAATAGAAAACATACTGTCTAATCAAGTTTAACAACGTCGTTGAATATAGGTAAATGAATATGTAGGGGAATTATACCGTTCCCCTTACGACTTGTGCCGCGTGCATATGTGTACGCTGTTTCTTTCAATAAAATAAACGGAACTTGTGATAATGGCACTTTATTGGCACGATGTTTCTTACATGAGAGTGAATGCAAAAATGGTTAATGAACGGGGGTCGGAATTCGGAACGTCGCGCATCATGGCGCGCGCTGCGTGAAAGGCGTCGCGCGCATCTCACAAGGGAAGTTTCACAATTGTCCGGAACCGATTTGATTCTCCATGAAATATGTTGTTTAAGGGGGTGTTTTCCCCTTAAATGTATGAGTTAACGCACATATTAAAAAATATGTGTCTCTTAGATTTTTGTGTTTAACAACATATTTCATGGAGAATCAAATCGGTTCTGGACAATTGTAAAACTTTCCTTGTCAATACCATACAAAGCTGTCGAAGCAAAGATCACAAATTAGATGTCGCGACGCTCACAGTATAGACATTATCGACCGATAACACGTATTACTTAGTGATTTCGGCTGGGATGCACTGGTGTGCACTGGTGCATATAAAAACAGTTGTATAATGAATAGCGATTTCGGCTGGGATGCACTAGTGCACATATAGCTGCACATATAGCTACACAGTTACCGTAAAAATATATTAAAAACAGGTTAAATCGTACAATCTCCAATACATTTTATTGCACTGTTAATAAAACATATATTTCATAATTTGCAATTCGTTTTTGTACTCATAGTGATTTCGGCTGGGACGCACCGACTGCATATTTTGGGTTTGATGCAACTGGTGTGTTCGTCTGGTCGAATGATGCAATATTTCGTCAGTGTTGCATGTTCGTCTGGGCTCAGTACACCGCACAAGTATACACAAAGGGTGCGTTCCGATTTTTACTGCCAGTACTGAAACTGTGCAGTATACGTTACGTACGCTATAGATTTTCAGCACTGGCAGTGAATATCGGAACGCACCCAAAGTGGCCCCAACAGATTTGTTGGGGCCAGTTGGTGTAGTTGTCGGTATAACAGGTGCCATTTCATGAGACGCTGAAAAACAGCATGAGTGTGATCACGTGATATCAATTTTGACACTAACGTCTCTACACATGTATATAGCACTACATACTTTTCATGCATTTTCATTGTCTAGTGTCAATTTTGTTCATATATTCTTTTACGCTGAAAATGAGCGTCGAACGTCAGTATAAAAAGCACCTTATTCACGATATGAATGACTTATATGTGCTCATGAAATTGTTAACATCATCGTCATCAAGTGCGATGATGAATTAATATACCTGATAGAACGTAAAAAAAAGAATAAATGTTAAAAGTTAAAATTATATTGAAGAGGTTGTGCGAAAAACGTACGTTCAATAAAACAGTTCAGTTTTGCAGGTTACATCATAATATAATTTATTGCACAGAAAATGTTTATTTAGAGTTTCGAAGTCATTTCCGAATGTCGCGAGAGACATACTACGAAATAATAAAGAAATTCGAAAGGTCAACATTTTACAGAGTAAAACGGTTTTAATATGCACCAGTGCACATCAGTGCACACCAGTGTTACCAGCCGAAATCGCTATTAAGACGCAACAGAATATATAATTAAATAGATAAATAAATACATATATATAAGTTTGAATAGCTTGTGTGTCGTATAAAATTTATTTTGTTTATAGTTCTATAAGAACTTTGAGAAAAAAGAAAATGAGTTATTGTAAATTCTCACAATTTTAATGATATGTATATTTTAATATAACTTTTAAAGGTATCAAATAAAATACGTAAAACATAATCAAATTCTTTATATTGATATGAATTAAGATAAATTTACAAAACACTTTTTATTATATACAGGGTGTCTCAAAAAAGCGGATCGAAACACAATGGGGACGTAGATTGGATCAAGGGGAACAAAACAGTTTTGTACCATTTTTCAGTTGACGCAATATTTAACGAGATATTAACGTTTAAAGATAGGCGAATACAAACATCCGACCAGCCTACTGCTCATGTACTGCTGTCGGCAGGACGGCCT